GAATTGGGGGTGGAGAGGAATGGAGTGTTACGGTGAACCTGGGTCCTCAGGGCAGAATCTGAGGGAGCCGTGGGTCATGCTGAGGTATGGAAACCGGACTGTTAGGAGAACCTGGAATCTGGGCAAGCCATTGAGGGGACAGCAACGGAGTCAGGCCGAAGCCTTGGACCCCCATTGCGTATCCCTCTTTTCCTGACAGTGTAAATGAGCAAGGATGGACCAGGAAGGTGGGGGAGATGGGCAGAAAGCCCCGAGCTTCCAGTGGCGGAACTACAAGCTCATAGTGGATCCTGCTCTGGACCCTGCCCTGCGCAGGCCTTCTCAAAAGGTGTACCGCTATGATGGAGTCCACTTCAGTGTCAGTGTGAGTGCACCAGACCTCCTCTTGGCTTCCTTGGTCCTCCCCCCATCCCCCTGTTGAATATCCAACACTAGACCTCCTGTACCTGTAGCTTGGTTTTCTGAGAATGAGCAAGTTACACCAGCTCTTCTGTATGTGGCTTCATAGAGTCAATAGCCTGGTAGATTTTCATGCTGGTCTCATCTCTTTCTGTTTACTAGGACTCAAAGTATACGCCAGTGGAAGACCTCCAAGACCCCCGCTGCCATGTCAGGTCCAAAAACAGAGACTTTTCTCTCCCAGTTCCGAAGTTTAAGGTAATTATCTGCTGGTCTCCCAGCATGTTGGTTCTCGGAGAGTGTCAAGGATCCTAGCACCCTGGTCTTTTTATAGTCTTCGAAAGTGGCTATTCCAGTGGATCACTGACGACCAGATCATTGCTATTGAGTCCGTGAGGCTGAGATGTTTGGGACAGGAGGTACACTTGCATAGCTGAGGTGTTTCTAGTAGAGGGATGAGGTATAGGGGGATGCCCTAGTTATTCAGCAGTTAGGGGTACTGCTAAGGCCACTGCCCACTTGGTGTCCTTGGTTCCTCACTGTCATTTGGGTATGTGCTCCAACTTGCTTGTAAGAACAGCTCCATTTCCGGATTTAATGGGATATTCTTCAAGCTTTGGACTGAGCCTAGAAAGCTGGTGGTTCTTTGTTTCCTTCCAATTTTGTTTTTTTCATTGATTCTTAATTTATCGGGTGCTTTCACCTCTTTCACTTTCCCTGAGCAGTCTCACTTAAGCTCTGTTTTCTGAATGTTTATTTCCCATACCTATTTCCATCTAACACCTACCCAGACACTAGAGACTTAAACACATTATCCTTATTCTCTCGGTCCTTTTCGTTTTTTTCTCTACTGAAACAGCAACACCAGGTACTCAGGTGCATGAGCTAGAAACCTACGAGTCACCTGGTAGTTATTTCCTTTCCATAGTCATAATCTTTGTCTTTCATTGCTGTTTTCTTCATGCAGAGTCTTATGTATTTCACTTGGTTTTCCTGGCTCCCTCCTCAATTTTAGCTTCTATCTTGCTGTCATTAGTCTCTGGCACTGTTGTTCTTACTTTATGTTCTCATTTTATGTTTCTGAGTGTGTCTTTTCTTTCCTTTGTTTTTTGTTGTTGTTGTTGTTTTGTTTTTGGTATTTTTCAAGACAGGGTTACTCTGTGTATAGCCTCAGCTGTTCTGGATCTCACACTGTAGACTAGGCTAGCCTTGAACTCAGATATGCCTGCCTCTGCCTCCTGAGTGCTTCGATCAAAGGCCTGTGCTAACATCCTAGGGCAAGTCTTTTTTTTTTTTTTTTTTTTTTTTTTTTTTTTTTTTTTTTTTTTTTTGGTTGTGGTCTGTGGTGTGGTGTGTAACTTGCATGCTGGTGTGCACATGCAGAAATTAGAGCATAATTTGAGGAAGCCGGTTTTCACCATGTGTTCCAAGGATCAAACTCAAGGTTGTCAGGTTTGATGGCAAGTGCCTGTATCCACTGAGCCATCTTGCTGGCATGCTAAGTTTGTTTTGAGGCATTGGCATGTGATCGAATTGGGCAGGCCTTATCACTTCCTTGACACCATACCCCTGTTATATCCAAATCAGACCCTCTTCAGTGTTTAGAAAACATCAAGATGGATAATTCCATGTCTTGGGAATCTGTCGTTTTGGTAAGCTTTGAGTTATCTACAAAGTCCAGTAAGAATACCAGCATCTTTATGAATCTTGAATCTCTTTCTCATTCTTCTCTGTATGAAGAATCCTTTTCTTGGCTTGAAGACACCCTGTCTACACCTCTTTTACCACTGTGTCATGTTTAAATTGTGTGGGTTGCTTATCTGTATTCTTTTCTTTCTGAGGCATGGCCTCCCTAGGTAACCCAAGCTGGCCTTGAAC